TTAGTAAAGAAAATAATACATTTTGTTATGATGAAAAGAAAAAGATAATTTATATTAAATATTTAAGTTCCGACTCACGAATGACGCGACGCGAGTTTGTGAGGGAATTAGATGATTTTTGTAAGTTAATAAATATTAATAAAGTATGTATAATAAAGAAGGATGGTAATAAGGAATCTATTAAAAAACTAGTTGAAGAAGTCAAATCTATGAATGATAGGACCGGTCCACGTGTACATATAATAATAGGACAGATGACAACTGTCGTATATTTTAACCAAATATTTTAATTAAAATATATTTATATTTTATTCCTGAAATACCGAAAAATAATGTTTTATGTAAATAATATATTTTAATATTAATGAATATGTGATAACATATTTACAAGTTCGTTTGCCTGAAGTGATGACACGAAATGACGATGGCCGAATACACCAAGAATATATTTTATTTTGCAACATTAATGCCAGGGAGAACTTTAAAGAAATATTAAATGAGAAAATAGAACAACGTCAAAATAACAAAATCAATGCTCACTACACTTCTACTGATCCCAAGAAAACAACGAATGCCGCGTTTTTATTGAGATGCTTGAGCGTTTTATTGAGATTGTCACCAAAAAAGCTTTGAAACCATCAACTGTAAGCGGTTATAGTTGTAGGTCACTTCAAGATGCAACGCCTGGGGATTCATCGTACACAATATTAATATTAGATTGCTTTAAGGCGATAAACAAAGCTCGAGAACTAGGTTTTTCTATTAATTTTCCAGATTTGATTTATACTAAATTATACACTTTTGAGTGCTGTAGATATATTTTTACATTTTTAATTTTTTACATTTTCTATGAATATTATCGCTCCAATACATTCACAGCCAGATTTCCTACGGTGTCAAAATTGTACCGACGGCAGGCTGTTTAAAGGTAAAAAGGGATTAAATATACACATTAAACGATGCCATAGTAAAAATATTTCGGCTTCACAGCCTACCGAAGAAATTCATGACTCTTCTGATAATATACCTAATGACACAAATTCTTCACTTTTTTCGAAACAATTATACAATTTGTATAGTAACGTACCAGTGGTTAAAAGAATTCCCAGAGGCGCGAGGATGCAACTTGCTACAAAAACTACAAAAAAACTGTCGAAACTCTTGAAGGCCTTCGTCAGAAACATCCTTCGGTCAATCCTTCCCAGAATTAACCGCTGCCTCCCAATACTTCTATGCAACCGTTACAAGTTTCCGAAAAAGACACTTTAGACGCAATATTGTCATTTTCGAATGGCTCTGCCGGCGGCATTGACGGGATTACGCCTCAGCATCTCAAAGACCTTGTAAGCGTATCTACCGGTGACGCCGGTAGGGTACTTCTTAATAACATAACAAAAATTAGGAATTTTATGCTTTCTCGTAATGTCAATCCCAATTTCATTCCCTACTTATATGGGACAAGATTGTGTGCCTTCAAAAAAAAGGATAACGGTATCCGCCCTATTGCTGTTGGTTCTACATTTCGACGTTTAACTTCAAAATTAGCTTGCAGGCACATAATCTCAAACCTTAAGACAAAATTTCAACCTACTCAACTAGGCTTTGGCAACAAAGGTGGCTGTGAGGCGGCGGTACATTCGGTGCGTACTTTCTTAACTAATTCCAATGCAGATGTTCTTCTGAAGGTTGATCTTAGAAATGCTTTTAACTCTATTGATAGGATAACCCTGCTGAAAGAAGTGGCTAACAATACCCCCGAAATATATCATTACGTTTGGCAATGTTACAGTCAAAATTCAAACTTGTTTTATCAAAACCATATTATTGAGTCTGCTGTCGGTGTTCAGCAGGGTGATCCATTAGGTCCAGCTCTTTTCAGTTTGGGAATTCAACCTATTATTTCAAATTTAAAATCCAAGCTTAATGTCTGGTATCTGGACGACGGTACACTGGAGGTAAAGCAGATGACGTCCTCAATGATCTTACTCATATTTTTCAAAATTTTAAAAATATTGGTCTTGAACCAAATACAAATAAATGTGAAATATTTATTTCAAATAATTTATCTAATTCTAACAGAGATACGTTAATTCAAAATTTCAATCAGATTTCTCCAGGAATAAAAACTGTCAATTCGGAATCGCTTTACCTGCTTAGTGCTCCGTTGTTTTTCGATAGTATTAAAACCTATTTTAAAAACAAAATTTGATCAATTTTAAATCACGTTGATAAATTATATATTTTAAACTCCCATATTGCCCTTACCATTTTAAAATATTGTCTCCTTGTACCTAAATTTACATACTTGTTACGCTCAAGTCCAGTCTGGAAATGTTCGGATATTTTAAAAGATATTGATAGTAATCTTAAAATTGCCTTAGAAAATATTCTGAATTTGAGATTAAATACAATAGCCTGGAATCAAGCCACTATACCTATCAAATTTGGTGGAATTGGTGCAAGAAATATTTCTAGCGTCGCATTGCCAGCTTTCCTTGCTTCCGTGCATAGTGTCGATGACCTATGTAACACAATTTTAAATAATAAAGTAGACCTGTGCTTTGCTGCGGAGGCAAAGCAAACATGGCTAACGCTCTGTCCCGGCGAAAATGTCCCACTGGAAGTTAACCAACAAAAACAGTGGGATATTCCGTTGGTACGGAGTGTCCAGAAAAGTTTATTTCAAAATTTCCATATTCAACAAGATCAGGCTCGACTTCTAGCTGTTTCGACTAAGGAATCTAGCCACTGGTTACATGCTCTACCATCAAGTAATCTCGGCACATTGCTTGATGGGGAAAGCTTGCGCATCGCCGTAGGAATCCGGCTAGGAGTGGCTATTTGTCAACCTCACCAGTGCCCCTGTGGTAGCAGCGTCGATGAGTTTGGGCTCCACGGACTTTCATGCAAGAAAAGTGCAGGTAGGTTTTCCCGTCAAGGTTCTTTGAACGAAATCATCCGAAGAGCTCTTGTCTCTATAAATATCCCCTCGGTTTTAGAGCCTTGCGGGATATTTAGAGACGATGGCAAGAGACCCGACGGTATGACTTTGGTCCCTTGGGAGAGACGTAAAGCCCTAGTGTGGGATGCTACTTGCGTTGACACTTTGGCGGCCTCTCATCTCAAGGGTACCTCTTTTAGAGCCGGGGCGGCATCAGAGGCAGACGAATTTAATAAATGGCGCAAATATGAGTCTTTGAGAAATGACTACATATTTGTGCCATTTGCTGTAGAAACTATCGGTCCTTGGGTCCACGGGCAATGAAGTTTCTAAAGGAACTGTATCCACGACTGGTCGTCGCTGCTGGTGATAAGAGGGCTGGTTCTTTCCTCGCTCAAAGGCTAAGTATAGCTATTCAGCGAGGAAACGCAGCCAGCGTTCTTGGCACTATACCTCGGGGAGCAGGTCTTTTTGACGATTAAAATTTTTAGTTGTAGATTTTCTATATTATAGTTTCTTCTTTTATATTGTATATAATTAGTTTTAATCGTAAATATTATAATTTTAATTATTATTTTAGTTAAATTCTTTATTATAATTTTTGTAATATAAAAAGATACTATTATATAATATAACTAATGTAAAAACGATATATAATAAGGATGACAGAAAGGTTTTATTAAGTGACTTCCACCTCCTACCTAGCAGTGGCCATGCAGGTATGAGAAGGATGGTCAACAATATAAAAAAGTATTATTATTGGCCTGGGTGTGATAAGGATGTAAAGAACTTTGTTAGGCATTGTGACAAAAATGTCAGCGTCAGAAATTTTCGTTACCCGTAAGAGAGCCATTAGAAATAACAACGACAGCTAACACAGCTATTGAACAGATATATTTAGACCTAGTAGGTCTATTTGAAGTTGATAATAATAAAAACTCTTATGCTTTAACGCTACAATGCGAACTCACTAAGTATGCTTAAATACAGGTTACAATTGTCACAGAGGCAAGAAATAATTTGATAAAGTCTAAAGAAAAGTGTTCTAATATTTTGTTTAAACATTTTAACATAAGTTTACCGTCAGTTAGTGTTAATGAGTTGTGTTTTGATAAAACGCGTAAGTGACACAGTCTGCACGGCGCTTAAGACGTTTTTGTCGTAACTTCACTTTAACACCGATTCCGACGGCGGCCTTAACTTGGAGTTGATATTTATTAAATTCATACGGCGAAGGAAGCAGATAATTTCATTTCACTTAATAAGTTAAGTTAAAATTAATTATTATGGCTGTGTCATTGCAATCATGGGGATGTTGCTCTAATGAATCAATTTCATCGTTCATTAATTGTACGCACTGTAATAAATCTTACCATTTTTTATGTTTATCCATTCCTGAAATCGCTCGGAACTCTGAGGCTTATGACAAATGGAAATTTCCGGCATGTATAAATTCAGCACCAAAGACCTCAAAAAAAGACTGCATACCTATTCGTACTATTCCTACGACCAGAGCAAATAAAAGACCGGCGTGATTAAAACTACTTTTACGGATTTTATCGCGTTTATTTTTACTTTTTATTTTTAATTCCCGACGTTTCGGGCGCTTTCCAGCACCCATGGTCACGGGGGACTGAGATGACTGACGTCCCGATGTCATTGTTAAACCCGGAGTACCTTCAGCTTTTTTAATTATTGTTTATGGTAAAAATAGTTTTAATCATGTGCAATGTTCGCGTAAATATAAGAAATCATTAAAAGACCGGCATTAAACTCTCCTCCAAAAGCAAGTCCTGTTACAAGTGAAAACGTTCGTACAACTGTCCAAGAGGTTATTAAGAAAGAGTTCAACGATATCTAAAACAACTAAATAATAGTATGATCGGTGTTATCACTAAGGAGCTGGAACCTATAAAAAACGAAATGAGGGACCTTAAAGAATCTATGTCCTTTATTAATAAAAAAATTGAGGAAATCGAGTCGGAACAGCTCGCTGCTAAAAAAATCTGTTAACACACTGCAAGATATAAATTCTCATTTAGGAAATACAGTTTCTGACATGTTGCAACGACTTAATTATTTGGAGCAGCAATCTCGATTCAATAATTTGGAGCTTCATTGTTTGCCTGAAAACAAACATGAAAACTTATACTCGACTGTCAAACAGCTGGGAATTGTAATTGGTTGTGAGTTAAAAGATGAAGATATACTTCACTGTACCCGGATAGCTAAAATGAGTTCTAGCAACACTCGTCCTCGATCTATCGTAATCCAATTGGCTTCTCCTAAAGTACGTGATCAGATTTTGGCTGCATTTATCAGCTTCAATAAATCAACTAGTGAACTGTTTGATAACAGATACGTGAGTCAAGTACTTCTGTGCAAATTGGATCTGATGTGAGTCAAGTACTTCTGTGCAAATTGGATCGTTTATTAAATAATTGCATCCGTTTTATTTTTGGCCTTCGTAAATACGATCATGTATCCATATATCGTTCTAAGCTTAAATGGCTCCCTATCCATCAGCGTAGATGTATCAAAATTCTTCGCACGCTTTTTTCAATCCTATATGATCCATGCACTCCCCAATACCTGAAATGCAAGTTTCAGTATTTGGGTTCTTCTCACGATCGTAACCTGCGATCCTCCAAGGGAACTACATTATGTGTTTTTCCTCGCCGTACCAAATTTATGTCTCAGTCTTTCGCCGCTGAGGCCATAAGACTATGGAATAAATTACCCCCTCATATCAGAAAACCGACTTCTGTTGCTACCTTTAAGAGGATGGTGACTGATTACTACCTTTCTTCTTCTAGCAACTAACTTTCATATTTAATTGTTTCTGCTTATATGTGACTTGACATTTTAAATTATTTAAATTGTTTTAGTATAATATGTTCGTATGTAAGTATACTTAAAATGTATGTATTATGTACTATTTAAACATTACGTATGAAATGTATTATATATTACTTAGATTAATTGTAGTTGTGTATATTTATTTTTGTATTTACACTTATGGTATGTTTATTTTTATATTTACATTTACGTATAAATTATCCACATATTTTATGGCACCTGCTAAAATTCTCTGCTTAGCTCATGGTTGACTGGTAGAGAATGCCTAAAGGCATTAAGTCCGGCAATTGTACATTTTAAGTGCAATAAAGTTTTTAAATAAAATAAATAAATACGTGGTATACAGGAGGGATAGAGAAAGTTCCAATCTACAAAGTCGTAAAAAAGGAAGAGGAGTGCTGATTGCTATAAAGAAGAATATTAAATCGAAACGCTTCAGTGTTGGGAAAGTAGCTGTGAAGATGTATGGGTTATTATGGACTTTCCTTTGTCACATTCTATCCGTCAAATTGCTTTTTGTGTAATTTATTTACCACCACCTGTACGAGGTACTGTAGTAGAGCATTATATAAATCATTGCAATAACGTTTTTGAACAGATTGTAAACTCACATGTTTGTATTGTGGGGGATTTCAACTTAAGTAATGTAGATTGGAGTCTTATAGGAAACCAAACCTATAGTTCAATACCAAATCTTAGCCAAACATTGATAAATTTTGCTAACGTTAACAACCTCGTTCAATACAATCGTGTGACTAATATAACCGGTCGTATACTTGATCTTGTTTTAACAACGATCTCATCTTGTAGTGTAAGCAAAACTATTGATGCTTTAAGTAAAATTGACCTACAACATCCACCTCTTAATATTGTGATTCACGGAGATAATGAAACTAGATTACCATATAATATCAATAATAAGAGACCAAATTTTTATAAAGCAAATTACGAATCAATCCGTAAATTTTTACGAGAAATAAATTGCGTAGAGAAGTTTGATGGACTGTGTGATGTGGATGAGCTTCTAGAGATCTTTTACGAAATATTATATATAGCAGTACAAAATTTTGTACCTCATTATAAATCGAAAACTTACAAATTTCCATCTGGGTGTGATCATAAAAGTAAATGGGGCCCTGCACTCTATTGTGAAGAGTCAAAATGTGTCAAAAAAGGCACGTATGGCCATTCACAATGCTGTTTTGGTCGCTACTTTAACGTATGGTAGTGAAAGTTGGGTGTGGCAGAAGAAGCACGAGAGTAGAATAAACGCAGTAGAAATGCGGTCGTTAAGGAGTATGTTAGGGCTGAATCTGAACGACAGGGTAAGAAATTGTGTTATAAGAGAAGAGTGTGGTTTGCAAGATGATGTTGTGACCAGGATTAAGAAAGGAATGCTTCGGTGGTTTGGTCATGTGGAAAGAATGAATGAGGAAAGAGTGACAAAGAAAATTTATATTGCAGAAGTGAATGGCAGAGTCGGAAAGGGACGTTCTAGGCGAAAATTTATCGACCAAATTGGATATTTATTGAAAACGGGCCAAATTAGGAGTACCCTTAACCGACGAGCATATATGCGTAGGTGTATGGATGTGAAGGAGGCGAGAGAGGTGTGTCAGGATCGTGCCAAATGGAAGTCTGTAGTCTCTGCCTACCCCTCTGGGTGACAGGCGTGAGTGTTTATGTTATGTTATAAACTTATTAAATTATTGAATGAAAAAAAAAACAGGATACGGAAGCGATATAATAAATATAAAAATTCGTTAGATAGAATCGAATTAAAACTTATAGGCAAGCGTTGTGGTAACTTAGCAACTAAGTGTTACAATCGCTATCTAAAAAAATGTGAAAATACACTCTCGAAAAATCCCAAACTATTTTGGTCGATGGTGACAGACAAGAGGGATGGGTCAAGTACATTTCCGACAACCATGAGCGATGGATCATCTATCTTCCAGCTCAGATAGTTCAGTTATATGCGAAATGTTTGCTTCTTACTTTTCTTCCGTCCTAGAGAGATGATAGTTATGACGAAAGCATGTCCGATTACTTATAATCACTAGTAAATAACAGCTTATGTCTCTCAAATCCAAAAATAGAACATGATACAATTTAAAAAAAACTCAAAGGACTAGATTGTAATAAAGGCGCAGGACCAGACAGAATACCGCCAATAAAAGAATGTGCTTCGGAATTGATATATCCTTTAAAAGTAATTTACAACTTGTCTTTAGCATCTGGCATGTTTCCTTCAAAATGGAAAATAGCAAAAGTATTTCCCATACATAAGTTGTCAAATATCGATATCATTTCCTATAGACCCATTTCAATTTTGTCAACCTTTGCCAAGGTATTTGAGTCGTTGGTTTGTCATCATCTTCAATAGCACTTAAGCCTTTAAATAAGTGACCATCAGCATGGGTTCTTCAGGTCTCGTTCCATTAGTACGAATTTAGTTCCTTTTACGGAATTCTTGTACGAGGCTATTGACATGGGCCATCAGGCTGATGTTATTTATACCGACTTTAGCAAAGCTTTTGACAAGGTTTCGCATAAGATTTTGATTTGTAAGTTGTGTGCCTACGGGATTTGTGGCTCGTTACTCAAATGGTTGAATTCGTATTTAGTGCAAAGGACCTTCTTAGTTGCAATTAATGGTTTTCAATCAAGTACTAAAACTATAAGTTCCGGTGTTCCTCAGGGTTCTCATTTGGGACCAGTCTTATTTCTTTTTTACATAAATGATGAAATGTTTTCTGTTTACAAAATATTTTTTATATGCTGATGACTTAAAATTTATGAAAATAATTAAGAGTGATGATGATACAAAATTATTACAAGGTGACATTGATAGACTAATCCAATGGTGCTGCAACAACAGAATGGACAAGTAAATGTTATCATGTTAAATACTCCAGAAAACAAAATTTAATACATGTAAATTACTTTATTCATAATACTAAAATTAGAGAAGTAGAGATCATTCGGGGTCTTGGCGTAATATATGATAAAAAATTAACTTTTGTACCCCATTTGGATAACATAATTATGAGAGCATCTAAAATGTTGGGTTTTGTCATAAGGAATTCGAAAAATATGCATTACAAAACCAAAATATTTTTTTACAACAGTCTAGTTCGAAATATTTTTGAATATTGTAGTGTGGTCTGGAGACCACACTATGCTACACATTCATCGAACGTGTTCAAAAGAGGTTCCTCTGGCATCTAGCATTTTCTGTTGGTAAAGCAAAAAAGCTACGGTCCTATAATAGTAAATTGCATCATTTTAATTTAGAAACCTTCGAAAGTCGCAGAAAGTATAATGATGCAGCTTTTGTACATATAATATTTAATTCTACATTTAATTGCCCCAGTTTAATGGAACTTTTTAAGTTTCGTGTACCTTCGAGATTACCTCGCAGCTCTATTGCACCACTTTTTTTTAGGAATTTTTTTATTTATATTTAATTAAAAAATATAGCGATCAAATCGACATTCACTTTGACTCACCCAAAACATTCTCTAAGTGTCTCCGTTAATGTATATGTTAATAGCGTAAATTAAAATAGATTTCTTAGTTTTTTTTAAGTTTTTTTAGTTTATGTAGCACTAATCTTACTAATAAATATGTATGTAATTTTAGTTGAGGAACAACTTATTGTTTTTTCAGTTTTTTTTTATAAAGTTATATGCATGCGGAGTTTACCTTTAAGTAATTGTAGCGCTTGTGTTAATACTTTTAAGTAATTGTATTAATTTGATGTTAGTGTTATCTATTGTTGGTGAACCTAATAAAGAGAAAAAAAAGAGAAAAATTATATTTGATAAATATACCCCTATACAATGGTGATTTAGTACTCTTAAAAAATGAGTCAGGTAATAAACTAAGTGATCTATGCTCTGGTCCTTATAAAGTTGTTAAATATGTAGCACCAAACATAGAAATAATTAAGAATGGTAAAAATGAATTAATACATAAAAACCGCACGAAATTGTATATCCAATAATAAATAAAACATATTTTATATGCTTTGTCTAAGTACATTTATTGTATATTATTATTATTTCTTTCTGTAGATTACTTAATATTACGTAATTATAAATATTCTAAATTAAATAATCATTAAAAAATGTTCTTAAAATAAATACCTTATATATTATTTTATAATGTAACCGTTCCTAATATTTACAAAAATAATATCTTAAATGTATCGATGCCTAAAAAAATGTATCCTTGTATTGTCACATTTTTTTTCTTTTGGATGGAAGGTGTAGTAGTAGAGTAAGAGTAAGAGTATATAAAAGTACACACACAAGTGTAATAATAATCCTATATAATCAAATTTATTTATACAATAAAGAGAGTCTTATATCATCATCAACGTTTGTTTAACTCCTCTCCTAACATTCGCCCTACAAGGTAATCACTGGCAACACGCACTGGTTGTACAATCTTGTTTTGAGGTTTTAAGGGATGGAGTAATTTATTTGAATTTTTTTAAATAGTTAATTCAAAATCATTTTTTCAATAATTTTACTT